ATTCTGGCTCTTCCGCCGGCGCCAGAACAACCAACAGAAGACTCTAGCAGACGCACCATCGTCATTCGGAGGGAGCCGCACCGCACCTAGCGAGCTTGGCGTGGACGGTCTCGGTACAAGCCCATCATACCAACGCGGAGGATACGTAACACCAAGCGAGCTTGGGAGCGAGCCGGCGGGATCAACTAGCAAGAACGCGAACACTACTCCTTCTGAACTATACGCGGCACCCCCCGGTCCAAAGTTCGTACATGAACTTGGTGCTTAGCTTTTCTTTTCTTTTCTCCTTTGTTCTTTCTTTTGTTTTCTTGATTTGCAAAGTCGGAATTATACCCCCTTTCTCGCTCGGCTCTCGGCCCCTGGCATGAGTCTATGGAACTGGGACATGAATGGTTTTATGTGAATATGCGCATGCTATTTCCATTGGATACTGGAGTCGATGAGCGGCGGTATGAGAATCTTGGCTTGGGCTTATCGAGTATTATGCCAGTACATATACATGGATGGTCTCCCTGCATTATGGGGCTTGTTTGGGGATCCATGCCTCCGTTGGATGTAACTACTATACCTCAGCTACAGAGTTAATACATTATAATCACCATTGCTTAATTTCTAGTTTTTGTCTTTAATGCTTTTAGGGCTGAGCTAGTGACCCGGTGGGAATTGAATTAGTGAACAAAGTAAGACATGTAGAAATAACTATTTGATCTCTTTTGTTTACGCTGTATAGATCTCAGATCAAAAGCGGCAGTGAACTATACCTAAAAGGGGATGACACTATACCTAATAAGGAAAAGAGAAGGCGGTGGGGCGTGGAGATATCGATCCCGCGGAGGCCAGCTCTCTCATCAAGCGTGAATTGACCTGGACATAAATTGCCAAAGCTCCTAAGTCAGAGCTCCACACAGATGGCATCGCAAACATACAGCTCGTCCGCTCGAGCTGGCCTCAAACCATCAAACACCGCTCCCCCCAACTTCGCCGATCCAAACTTCGACTCGGCCGAGTTCCTCAATGACTCCCTATCACCACTCACTGTGGCATCAGCACAACCTAGTGCCTCTCGGTCACCCGGCTCTGTTCCCCTGACAGAGTTATCTGTGCAGGTCCAGTCCCTCCTCTCCCAGATTAGCGCCCAAAATATCCGTCTCTCGAGCACGTTATCCCAACTTACCGACGAAATCCTTCGAAGCGGTGGACGACTGGCCTACGAAGTCGAAGTCCTACGAGGCGAGACAATCGGGCTATCCGAAACCCTAACTGAAGTCCTACGCGACGACATAACAAAGTTCATCCCGGAGCCCTCACCAGAAGACGGGCGCAAGGCCGAACAAGAAGAGGATGCGCCCACCAACGAAGATGAGTCGGCAGAAACAGAGGACAAGAACAAACCCGCCGCCCCAACAGACCCAGAATACATAACGAACCTCCGCACACTGAACCAAGTGAGATCGCGCCTAGAAGACGTCGTACAGACCTTCGGCGACGCAATGAGCTGGCCGCTGCCCCCATCCGAAATCTCATTCTCGTCATCCTTCATCTCTGTCTCAGGACCAGACCTCGGCCCCGAAGGCCAAGACCGCGAGGAAAAGGGCCAAGAAATGATGAAGAAGCTACGCGCAGAAGTGACCGAGCTACTCGAAAGTGAGGGCGGAGGATACGCCGGACTCGATGCTGCCAACCGCCGCGTTGAAGCCCTACGGACGCTGGCGACTGTGTGGAATGCATCGGCCGAGGAAAAAGCCCGTAATCGGTTCGTGGATAGCCTGGCAAATATCGTGGGGGATCGACGGCGCACCTTGGACCAGCAGCAGGCAGATCAGAACCAGCGAGGCCAGTCCAAGTCCAGATTTGAGGCTCGGCGGGATAGTGACAGTGGGGCACCGGCTGGTGGGCTGTTCCGGAATTTACAGCGTTTGAGGGAGGAAATATACTTGGAGTGAAAGAATGGGATGTTCATATATGGTCCTAGTTGAGCTGGTTCTCTACATTGATACTTGGACTTGGCTGTATAGTATTTTGCATCTTTTACGACAATCTTGCATTTTCTGGTCTCTATAACTTCCTGGCCTGCATAGGGCTGTTTGCACTGCTCTTTGCGGGACACATCCCCCCAGTTAAACTTGACGCAGGTCATTACGTAGTCGTGACCAGCCTCGATAGACATAAAACTCGACCTTTTGAATAGGAGCGACGTCAGTCGCTATTATGAACTTAGGGCTATTAACTACACTATGGGATTGAGCGTAACTAAAGGGAATATAGTCTACAGTCTATATAGATCCTTCAGGAACATCTATATACAGAGTAGATGTAAAGATATATAGTTATCCAAGACTCATGAACGTTTAGTTTAGGTAAATGTGTTCCTTACATGTGGAGACACACAATACTATTATTCTCATAGCTCTAAATATGGTTATGAATCATCATCTAGCTGAGGGTCCAAGGGCCCACCAGGTGACGAGCTGACAAGTGACGGGAGTGGCACCGGGAACGTTGCGCCGATCGCAGCCTCTCTCCCTCTTCTCCAAGGTGATTGCGTATGCGGTTCCTGACCTCTTACAATGTTCCATATTGCTTTACCCAGTATCTGATTCGACTTATTTTTGCATGATGGCGTCGGAGGACGCGCCACTACACTTTGAAGATACCAAGTTGACTCCAATGCTGTGGCACGTCTTCCACCGTCGGTCACGGGCAAATCTTAAAACAATTGGTTTGTCGGTAATTGCATTGTTCTTCTTCTTTCTTCTGCTCCAGTCTTCTCCAACGGTAAGGATTGCTTTCTGCTACACGGCGGACATGCTATTGCCAGGCCTAAGACAAAGAAGCTGACCTGCCTAGCGAGTCGAACCGGACTTTTGGACAAAGTTTCCCTCTCGCCATCCTTTTCCCCAGCGCCCGGAGGACGCCCAGGTCATCCTTAATCCCCGCACCGATATTAATGTTAACGATACCCTCCCCCACGATCTGGACAAACCCAACCCGCGCTTGCATGTCCTAGTTCCAGCCTCGCAGGGCTCGCGCGGACTTTGCCGAACGCTCACGTCGGCTATGATCCTTGGATACCCACCGCCGACATTAATCGGTTACGACCATCAATCTCCCGGAGCGACTGAGGCCGAGCGCATGGTGGACCGGATCACGCGCGCGCGCAATTACCTCCGAGACAGCAAGACCGTACACGACCGCGACTTTGTGCTGATAGTGGATGGCGCAGACAGCTTCTTCCAATTGCCGCCGAAGGTCCTAGTGGAGCGGTTCCAGGCTATCATAAGAGCGAACAACCGAAAGCTACGGGACAAGTTTGGGTTCGCAAAAGTGGAGAGCCAAAATGCTGGGGCTGCGCCTGAGATGGTACAGAAATACACCCAGCGCGTTATTTTTGGTGCAAGCAAGATATGCTACCCCGGGTTGCTGGACGACCCCGGCTGTGCATCCGTGCCCGATTCATCTCTACCTCCGGATGTGTATGGCTGGAAGACCGATGCCTACCCGGATGGATCTCTGAACCGACCCCGGTGGTTGAATCCCGGAGCGGTCATTGGTCAGGCTGCGGACTTGCGTCTGATCTACGATGAGGTCCTGCGGCTAGTTGAGATGCGCACGAACAAATCTGGAGATCACATGGCCTTGACACAGATGTACGGACGGCAAGAGGTGATCAGAGAACTGGAGCGGCGGCGAACAGCCAATGACTTCAAAGAGTTGCTTTACCGGATGGTGGGCATCTCCGATGCAGCAAATATCACCGGGATTACCCTCCGGCTGGAGACAGGTCACCGTTACGAGTACGGCATTGGCGTCGACTACGAGTCACAACTCTTCTTCAACCAGATCATGTCCCGCAAGGACGTCGAGTGGGTCAAGTTTGGCAACATTACCAGGATGTCCGCGTTGCAGATGGAACACGGCGTCCCGCGCGAACACCGTATCCTCCTACCGCAGGACATTGCATCGCTCCCGAACCCATTTATCCAGTCCCGCTTCGCAAAAGAATCAACCCAGCGCCCAGTGTGGAATGCCACACTAGACAAGCTCCCGAACCCGCGCGAGCGCAACTGGCACAATATTTCGCTAATGACGAATGTCCACTCCGCCTCGGTCCCGGTAATCGCCCGTCTCAACGGTGACCCCAAGCTCCGCAACACCTGGTGGGAGAATATGTGGTTTTTCCCATGGGGACGCGCGCTACTGCGGAAGTATGTCCGCGACTCACACGGATTCGACGCGGCACAGTCGTCGCTGCTGGGCGGGCAGGACTGGTTGGAGGTGCGCGGAGGTCGAGGTGGGATCTGGACCGATGATGAGAACTGGGTCAATCTTTCTGAGATGTGCAATGGCCAAGAAAGAGATCTCTTTGACGATGATCTCGGGCCCTGGGGTAAGGAAAATGGTGACCCAGATCATCCGGTTTACAACCAGTATGGAAGTCTCATTGCTGGGAAGGAACAATAATTCGACTAAAGCTGGACTTTGAGTTATTATCCTCCCCTTTTACTCACTACATCATTCTCAATGGATCGATGGGCGGGTTGTTAAGACTTCCCGTCCAGCTCGCCATCCCACCAAACCGCCTGCTCTGCGCTATATCTCCACGTCGAGTTTCAAGCTTATCAAGCTCTGGACTCTGTCGAGTTTTGGAGTTTGGATGGTTTTTGTCTTTTTGCATGACCGCCTGATTGGGTGAGCCACTACTTATGACCTCCCTCGGGATGACATGGCCGGATTCACCGGAGAATTCGGACTTATTCTTATGTCGAAGCTGGGATTCTTTCGACTGTTATCACGAATAGCTATACATTAATGCGACTGGCTTTGCATGACTGCGACGCAAGAGTCTGTTGTATGATACCGTCATAGATGGGACCTTGGAAAGGGCCGGCTGTTTGGTGATGCTGGTGTATATAGAAAGCAACAGAATGAACAAGTAAAGTATTGTCGTTCGCATCTGGACTAATCACTCATGTAATATCTCCACCGGTTTAGATACTTGATCATTTCACAGAATCTTGAAACGGCCAGAGCTTTTCCCATATCGCTCTCTCTTCTTCATTTGCTGACTCCCGAGCCAGAAAATCCTGCTTTGCCACAGCAAGTCTCTTCGCTACCTCGTTGTAATCATGAGGAGAAACTGCACCATTCCAGCCTGTATAGGCGCCGATCTGCTCAATTACCCGTGCCTTCCTTTCAATGTCCTTTTCCCATTTGGCGTACTCTGTCTTGAATCTTGCCATGTCTTGCTTTGAATACCTCAAAGGGCATAACACTTTAGGATTGCCATTCTCGTCCACTCCAACCAGCTGCTTCCAGGCATGTTCTTCGGTGATATCCGCAAGTAAGCTTTGCACATATGGTTCTCCATCATCGTATGTAGACCCAATGATTCCTAGTATTTGGCCGGGCAATGTCTCTCTATAACGGAATGCATACAGCAGCTCGGGTATAGCTTTCTGCACATCTATCTCATATGAAAGCCAAAAAGACTGAGAAAGGAACAAGTCCTTTGCAGCCTTTTTAGCCTCGGGGTCAAGTGTCCTGATATTCTCAGGGAGAACGGGTTGAGTAAATCCATCTAACTTTGGTCCCTCGTACTCAATCAAGGAGGGATAATGGCAAATCAGGAACATGGGGTAGACAGGTGTGCCTTGCCAATCTATAATGCTCGTGATCCGAGATGGGTTTTCGCTGTCGACGAATATGTTATGCATATGAAGGTCGTTGTGCCAAAGTACACCTGCAGAGAGCTTCTCGTTTGTCGGGAGAAGACAAGGAAAGATTTTGAGGAAATCGTGAAGAACCGATAGTTTCGCTTCCTTGGTTGGATGGTAACCGCCAGGTCCGCCGAACATGCCTTGCTGAGTATGCCGGGGGAAGGATGAGAATTTCTCTAGACATGCTATTTCTCGCTGCACTATTGCCTTCATCACATTTCCTGCTGAGGTCCCTAATAATAATCAAGGTTATTAAATTGCCGTACTTATATCAAGGTAAGCAAGACACATTCAAGGTAAGTAAGACACATACAAGGACCCCGAGAAACTTCGACCTCTGCTCTGCTACTGTCGAACCATGCTCGCCCAGTCGTAGGCCCGATAGCAAACTCATCGTCAAGGACGAAGCTCTCAGATCGGGTAACATCTTGTCTTTTGTAAAGTGCGCCATGGTATGGGAACTGGGATCGAGCGAGTGTGCAGGTGATAGCGGCGATCTGTTCCACGATGGAAAGTTTATCGCGACTCTTGAGATCTTCCCATATTTTACCAAGTTCAATACCGGGAGCTTTCTCCATCACAATGTATTCCGCGCCGAGCTTGCTTTCGCTAGCCCTCGAGCAATATCTAAGGACCTTCGGAACGGGAATATGAAGTATCTCTCTGACCTTGAAATGTAATCAGTATGGGATACCCTGGTATCTTTTCTCTCACTAGAAATAATGTATACAGCAAGGGTGGATGGATTTCTCACAAATTGCATGGTTGCCACTTCAGATGCCGTGGTGTAGTGGACAGGCCCCGAATTGGGATTTGGGATTTTGACGATAAGTTGTTCCCCATCTTCCATTGTGACAAGGAACACTTTGTTGGAATTTCCTTCTGGCAGCTTTGATACATTTACACAGACTGACCCGTGTCCTGCAGCTTCTTCCGCAACATGGATAAGGGCGTCCATATTGAATTGGACGTATCTGCTGAGCAGTTGTGCCGGTTCATTCCACAGCCATTTCTGGGCTGAATACCTGTAAAGTTCCTCTGGATCATAATCTATCATTTGGTCAGCCATCTCTCTTTGTGGTAAAAAGAACAACCTACTAGGAACATATCTCCCTCGACTACGTGGCATGGTCAGTGAACGGATAGTGGTGTAGGAGACAGATGGTTTCAATAGCCCTGAAAAAAGTGTATAGCTTCTGGTAAATTCAAGTGGCATTTTGGGAGTTCTGGTGCATTGAAACGCAATGGTAGCGAACGCGCTCAGGGATGGCACAGACGTGGTCAGCCGTCTGGACCGTACTATTTTACACCTCGTTATTTATAACTACCATGACAATTTTCAATGCCGCGCCCCCTCGCTCGGGGTTGGGAGGTAATCTTGCAGATAACTCTCATTTTTCTGTGCGCAGAACTACCAATCGGTAATTTGCAGAAGATTCATTTGTTGATGTTCCTAGGGGCCAAACATATACAGATGCCCGTCCAATGGCTCAAGTTAGACAGTTTGTTAATATATACATAATGCAGCGACTTATATAATTCAGAACAATGTAGATACATAATCCCAAGAGATGGCCTCGTTATAAGTCACTTCCCAGCTGTGGATGGGACGACAGTCTCAGGTAAATAAACAATTAGACAATCTAATTGACTGTCGAAAGTAATCAGACTAGCGAATGAGATGTAAGTTCCTGGTGTGAGCGTTTCGCCCGCGACTTGGACCTCTCCCGCTGCATTCTCAGAACCTGACCTGATAGACAGGGGAAAAAAGAGTGATTGGTAATGGGGTGTTGCCTTCAAGGCGATTTTCCCGGTAACACGCCAGATCGAGTATCCATAGCCCTAGAAATATTAGAAACCTGCCCCGAAATTGAGATAAGACAAATACCTTTATTCTGTTGAATCCTAATTCTCCTAACAAAGGGGCAACTTTGACATGGCGGCCTTCGTCCACGCACCTTAAAAGGTTATCTTGCTCCTTCTTGAATTCGTTCGTTTCGGAAGCCCAAGCTGAGAGATCCTCCAACTTCGAAAAAGCACCTTGGTTTATTGTAGTGAGGGGCATTGTGTTTGCGAGGAGGATAAGCGGGGTAGCTGGAGACACGTTATTCTCATTTCGAGACCGGATCGATCGAACTGATGAGGCTTACCTGTGAAACTGACTGGTTTCGAAGTCAATAAACACCTAGCCAGCAAACTCCATCATTAGATTTACGGCGCAAATCACTGTCCCACAGCCTTAGATCCGCCATACAAAGTGGTGAGCCTGCGGTGCGGAATATCCTATATTATATCAAGACGGCCACCCTTCCTATAACTTCCTTCGTATTCACGCGAAGAATCATTATTAAATTAGCGCACTCTTCTACCATTTTTTAGGTTAGTAGGTAAGCATTACATAGTATAGCTATCTAGCTTACTCTCAAAATCCGAATTTAACGTTAAATTAGGAGGGTGCCATAGAGCAAGCGGCACACTACCCGTCTATTATCCACTCATATGCCTAATAGATATTTGACTTAAAGTATGACCTTCACTGTCAGATACACCATCTTGCTCATAGTCTTCCGGTTTACATCGGTGTTCAGCTTGAAATAGCAACCAGTACCGCAGACTTTCCGCTGTCTTCCACGTGGAATACGGAATCCGCTTTTTTGGGATCGTCGCTACGATCAGAAGCGGACAGGATTGAGGCGTGCCTATGGAAGTAGGCAAGTGTTCCGACGATCTCCTGGAGATGATTTTGATAGTTCAAGTCCAGTCGGGACCACTAATAGAATGCGAGAATAAGCATGCATCTTATCGTAAGTGATGGATATCTGCTCACTTCGCTTTCTCCATTGAGTTGAAGAAAATGAAATTGGTTATTGTCGGTAGAAAGACCAAAAACTGAAGAGTCAAGCTTACCCTCAGCCCGACGTTGCGTATGAATCATGCCTGAATAAAGGGTTAGTTACGATGGTAGACATGACGAGAAATCACTTGCTCATATACGCAAGAGTCTGGCGCACGCCGTTGGCAGATTGGCCATGCTCTGCTTCGAGGATAACCAGGTTGATGGCCACGTTTTCCTTCCCTTTATCCCCGTCCGGACCATACCAAAGAAACCAATCAGGGGTCCCTTGGAGACAATGCACTTTTTCGTTGTAGACAACCGGGCCGAATAGAAATGGGCACTTGGATGAGATGGGGATTGGAGTTGAATCCGGAGACTCTGGGTTCGGGGGAGTAGCATGGACAGCATCAAGTAGAATACCCAGGCGAAGTTTCACAGCCATTTCAGGTCTTCCATTTGATCTAGAAATGGCAGCGTCAACCATTTTCAGGACGATTTCTAGACATGATTAGCTATCTTGCCAAGCGTCTTTCAATTTGGACTTACTGCAGTGGTCTGCAAGCTCAAATGGAGCCCGAAGCTGTGCCCAGTCCGTGTTCTCTGCCCTGGTGAGGTGGAAGATGCGCTCAACATCCGGGAATGGGAGGACTTCGACTGAAAGTTTAGGATACCGAAGTACCTCTTGTGTCGTTATAGACGCCATGTCGGAAAACAGAAGTATGGTGTCCTAAGAATGATAGAGGTAAGACAATGACCGTGATTTACTGCTGTGAGAGAAGTGAGAGAGAAGTGAGAGGAGAAAAAAGTGCGAGAAGAGAAAAGAGGGAGAAGAGAGAAAGCAAAGATGAGGTAGTGGCCTACCAGTAAGTTTTCCTATTTTTATTTGCTCAACGAGCTTACATATACAACGTAGACATGTGCTCTCTTACGGTATAATAGAAATAATTGAAGTCATTGCCAATGTATTATCCATAAATTTGCTATTTGCCAACGTTTACTCGATAGAACACATATCCCAGTGCTTGATCTCCACAGCCTCAGATTCCTGAGTGTGAATCTGTCCAGATTTATTCGAGCGAGGATAAGCCATGACGGCTTTCTCGAAGAAGTAGACCAGCATTCCTAGAACCTTCTCACAGTCCCGACTGCAGCGGGCCATGACTGGATGAACGCTCCACTAGTCAAACGTCAACGAGGCAGTCAGACATATAAGATAAACGTACTCACCTTGGAGTCATGAGAAATCTTCAAAAACCAGAAGTCTTTATCATCGGTCACTAACCCGTAGATCGTGCAATCATTTTTCTTCAAATCATTTCGATGCCTGTGAATGCAGCCTTGGAACGATTTAGCTCCCTAATATGCAATGACAGAAATATTATAGGACACTTACCCATAGATGCTAGGGTTTGGGCTATACCCTTTTGCACTTCGCCAGGTTTAGTTCTAACCACAGCAGCAATCAGCGCGAGATCCTCCATATCGCCGTACCAGATCCCATAATCTAGTTCTCCAACCAATGTGTGCTTCTTTTTATCCAAAAGCACAGGACCGTAGCTCCATTTGTGTTTGATCTTGATGCTGAGGAACCGAGCAGCTTCAGGGAGATCAGACAGAACGATATCGCGAGCGAGAACAAGGAGGCTGGAGGTAAAGGTAGAATGTGGATGGGCTGCAGACGCAGGAATCTCACGATCAACTTTGGACAAATCCAAGTAAGCGAAATGAGATGTTACCTCTCTTGTCAGTTGGCTAGGTATAGGAACAGGAGGCACGTTCTTGAGCTCATTGTCATTGACAACGTACTCCAGATTGCAGATGACCTCGATGTTTTCAACGAGCAGAGAGGTATTTATGAACATGGCTTTGGATGTGATTCTGTAGATGAAAGATTTTGATACTATATGGTGATGGTTGGTGTATGTGCCCAGGTATGATCATATAATGACTGCTTGACCCGGCGCTTTAAATAGAAAGCTAAATTATCTCATCCACGACTAGAAGGTCTTTTAAGAATAGTGACATTGAGAATAACTCTATTGTTTCTAATTTTGTTATAGGTCTTCCATGGTTGTAGGTCGGGATATAGCATACCAAGATCTAGGCCTGGATAGGGTAATTCCAGGCAAATATAATGCTCGGTTGATCGTGGATGTACAACAAAAGACAGTGGTTTGAAGAAGCACACTGGTCCCTTTCTTGATTCTTGATATCAAACATCTATGATACAACATCCGACTTCTCACCCTTTCACGTTTTCATAATCCGCCGTAAGGGTTTCCTTAATGATAGCCAGAATAGCCTTGACATCTTCATCAGACAGTCTGAGCTCCCGCTCTTCAATAACACCGTCCATCAACACCACCGCAGTGTAATCATCCTCCTCGGCCTCTCCCTCCCCTTCCCCATCCACTTCCATTGCTTCCTCTCCATTAGCACCTTCCTCTCCAGCTTCCTCAGTAGCAGGATTACCGCTCAGTCCCACCCCGAGATTCAGGATCATAACGACCTCGGCTTTAGTCAGTCCGTACGGCTGTAGACGGGCTACTAAGTCTCGGAGGGCTGTGTCCATGGGTGTTATTTCCGTGGAAGGGATTGGGGGCGGCATAGAATTAGTATCCGCCTCTGGGTTTGCTGAATTTGAGGTTCGCAGCGTGCCGGTCATTGCGGCTTGCGACTGTGTTTTCGACTGGGAGGAGGAAGGGCGGGGTGTGTAGCGAGGGTATCGTAGGAGGTGGGGGGAAAGACGGCTTGCATAGTTGTGAATCTGGGAGTTTATCAGTCGTTTTTTCTTCTATCGTTGGTCTCTTGGTGTCTGGTTTGCGGTCGCCTGCGCTTCATGATGGGGCTCATGGTATAGTTGAACTAGGCCATAGAGCCCTGTAGACCGATAACAAGGACAGCATAGGGATGCTCACTTCTTTAACCACTGTATTATGGTCTCTGAGATCTGGACTTGGTGCCCAGTTCCCCGAATTTGGCGGTGGTCGGCGGGGTGGATTGGAGGTTAGATAGGCCAGGACCTCGACATTGGTCAGGATGGCGGTTTGAGGGTCAATGATCTAGATAATTGTGTTAGGAGAAATCCCGAGCTTCAAGTGGAATAGAACATACCCTCATTTTGTGTGTTGAATGTGGCTAGATAGACTGGCGCAACTGGGGTGATTGGACTGAGAAAGGAAAATTGTTTGAACTGCCGGCAGAAACTGGGCGGTGTCTTTATCTACTGCATATCTCGAAGTATACGAGGCAAAGCAACGGAGATGAGACGGAAACATACATATGGAGTTAGTTGAGACTGCATTTTGCGATACATAGTTTACAAATTTACGATCCAGTTGTGAAGTATGAACAGATTATTCCAGCTAAAACTGTACTGCCTTGTTCCTAACGAGCACCCTCTGCGCCAGTGAAAGACCGGTAGATCAACCTCAAAATGCTCCAAAACATGCGAGCAACAGGAAGATTGCAAAAAAAAAGAACAGAAATGAAAAAGTGTGATATCATACAGATCCCAGGAAAGCCATCCGGTCACATTGCACAAACTTTTGAAAACATACGCTTACTCTCCCTTGGACTTCTTCTTCTTCTTCTCATCCTCGTCTTCGGAACGCTTGCGCTTCTTGCCATCGTCCTTGCTAGCCTTCTTGGCATCCTTCTTGGACTTCTTCAAGTCCTTCTTGCTGATTGAAGTGGGATTGCCCGCTTTATCGAAAGTGATCTCGCCACGCTCGAGCTTCCGCTCGTATCGCTTAACGCTGAGACCAGCCTTAGCAGCCAATTCCTCAATGTCGCTCTTCTTGGACTTCTTCTTGGGTGCCTCATCCTCGGACTCATCAGAATCCTCAGCCTCCTTATCAGAGTCGGCGTCGGCCATCTCCTCATCCTCAACCTCCTCTACAAGCTTCTTCTTCTCCTTCTTGGACTTCTGAACAGCGGCAGGCTCCTCGGAGGCCAAGGCATCAGCATCAGGATTGTACTTGCGGGCCTCCTTCAAGTCGAACTTCTCGGCCTGAACACCGTTGGGGGCAATGGCCACACCACGGGGCTTAATGGGCTTGCCCTCCATACCAGCAAGCTTGCGCTCAAGGTTGAAGCGGGCCTCGGTACCGAGAGCACATTTTTCCTCCTCGGTGGCATCGTCAGCCCACTCGGTGAGGGAGTCGACACGGATACCAAGAGAGGCCTTGGCGGCGAGGATACGGGCCATCTTTCCCTTGTTGCGGCCGGTGGCCTGGCCGATCAAAGAAGCGTGGTAGATCAGACCGTACTTGGGAGTATCGTGCTTAGTCTTGAGGGCACGGAAAAGGGCCTTCTCGGCACCCAGAATCTGGATGGTACTGGCGGGGCTCTTAGACAAGCTGGTAAGGGAACCAGCGTGGGCAATAAGACGGGCACCAACAAGATCACCGACAAGGGCAGTCAAATTGGGTGCGATGGCGTTCATGCGGGAAGTAAGGTAGCTAGCAAGTTGGGAGCGGTACTCGTAGAAGCCAACGACCTGCTCGGCAAGAGCCTGGATGTTCTCCAGATCCTCGGGGCTGATCTCGGTACCCATGGAGCGGTCGGCAGCAGCCTTGACGGCACCCTCGATCTCCTCGGGGAGGATCTCAGCAAGATCAGCGGAGTCCCAGTTGGAGCGCATACCCATCTTCAGAACGAGCTTGGCGTAGGCAATGTTGTCGTTGAGGATCTTAGCCAGCTCGGGGAAGTGCCATCCGTACCATTCCTTAACACGCATAGCGTAGGTGTTCAGCTCCTTGTCAAGATCATCGAGAAGACCAATGGCCTGGACGATCATAGTATCGATCTTGTCGGGCGAGAACTTGAGCTTGTGACGGGCGAGAGAGTGGGACAGACCAAGGGACATGGTAGACATATCACTGGGGGCAAGACCGGGAATGAGGGTTGTGAGGTGCTCACGAATGGCACGGAAGATATCGTTGGTGGTGGAGTCAGCAATCAATTGGATGTCAAGACCGGGAAGCTTGCTGATGGAGTTTCCTATTCACGATCACAGTCAGCATACATCCCGTGGGAAGAAACTTTATAACATTGACCTACCGAGCTTGGTATCGGCAACGGCGAGGGACACCTTCTTCTCATCCTTGATGCTGTCAAGAAGCGAGGCCAGGCGGGGGGTGACCTTGCCCTCCATGATGGAGGCAGCCTCCTCCAGAGCTGAGGCAGCGCTGTCAAACTTCTGGAAGCTCTTCAGCTTGAGACTAAAGAGGTTTTGTTAGTGCCATTGTCGCCGATAACAAAATTTTTGCGACTCTTCAGAGTTGGTTCATTCCCACTCAAATTTTTTATTTGGTAGGATTGGAAGACACAATTGACGTACAGATTGGAGACACCCTCCGCAGTAGAGGCCTCCTCGGCGATATCATCACGCTTGAGGAGCTTCTTGTCCTTGGCCTTCAGCAGGGCATAGCCCGCGCTGGTCTCAGTGAGGATGAAAAGCGTCATGGTGCGCGGCCACGGCGTTTATAATCGAAAAAGAACAGAAAAGAATAAACAAGTCAAAGCGAACGATAAACCGAGCCGAGGAAATGTCGAAAAAAATAATTAGCGTAGGGCGTGTCGGCCACCGGTGTCGTTGGAGAAATTGAATCTAAATTTGCACGGAAGAAAAAAAGTTGAAAAGCGGGTGCCACGAGTGGCTTAGCCGTGTGGCTAGGTGCATGACTAAGCCATATGCGTGTCCTGGACGGATAGAGCTACAGCTGGGTCTCTCCAATCATCTTCTCCACATTCACCATGGAGGGCCTATTCTTTAATATTAACGGCGGGTATGTGGTCTATATCTTTGCTTGGTCTGAATAGCGCCCGTTGTTGACTCTCTTAGATACGTTGAGGGCATTGTTCGCGGCTATCGGAACAGCCTGTTGACCGGCCAGAACTATTCCAACCTCATTCAATGCGAGACAATTGACGGTACGCTTCATTGATTCCGCTGACTCTGTCGTAGAATCTACCACTGCATATTGATTCTGACAGTCTCGTCCAATAGATGTCAAGCTTCAGCTTGCTCCCTCATATGGCGACGTCCTTGCCTCTCTTTCCCCCAACCCCTCCACGTCCGATCTGGCGAGCCGCATGACCGATAAACTGGTGGCTGAATTCAAGTACCTGGTCGCACAAGCGACAGGCTCATCTGCCAAGTTTCTCGAATATATGACATACGGATATATGATCGACAACATTGCCCTGTTGATCACAGGCACTCTGCATGAACGAGACACCCGGGAACTTTTGGAGCGATGCCACCCACTAGGATGGTTTGAGACACTTCCTGTGCTGTGTGTTGCGACAAATATCGAGGAACTGTACAACTCGGTACTGATCGAGACGCCACTGGCCGCCTACTTCAAGGGTAGTCTGAGCCACCAGGACTTGGACGAGCTGAACATCGAGATCGTTCGCAACACCCTCTACAAGAACTACTTGGAGGACTTTTACAACTTCATCAATACCCACCCAGACTTCAGCGGGACGCCAACACAGGATGTCATGGCGGAGATTCTGCAGTTCGAGGCGGACCGCCGCGCTATCAATATTACTCTCAACTCCTTTGGCACCGAGCTGTCCAAGCTCGAGCGGAGGAAATTGTACCCGGAGTTCGGCAAGCTCTACCCGGAGGGCAGTCTCATGCTTTCCCGCGCAGAGGATGTCGAGGGTGTGGCCTTGGCTGTAAGCGCTGTGGCCGATTACAAAGCATTCTTCGATGCTGTGGGCATGAGCCAAGGCGGTGGCGGTCTCGGTGGTATGGGCGGAGGTCCGGCAGATGGGAAGAGTTTAGAAGATCTTTTCTATCAAAAGGAGATGGATATGTCTAAGCTGGTTTTCACCCGTCAATTCACCCCAGCTGTGGTGTACGCCTGGATGAAGCTGAAGGAGCAGGTAAGCCTCTTAGAATCAATCTCTCTGATTTTAAGAGTATGAAACTAATATCTCCTAGGAAATTCGCAACATTACCTGGATAGCGGAATGCATTGCTCAGAACCAGAAGGAGAGAATCGGAAACTTCATCTCCGTTTTCTAAAATCGACTCGGGCACTCTATGATTTTCTGTTTTCCTGCCTCTTTGTACTTACCCATCTCCCTGGCTGGCATTTTGCTTTGGTTGCCAACCGCTTTTCGTTGTGTCGAGTACCCAGTTTGTTCTTTAACGTGAGCGCATCGACCTCTTTTCCTTGATCGGGAGAATCCGGTCATCTTTAATTTCGGCTGTGTTGCTTTTTTTTCTCATTCGTATGAGGCGTTTGGCATGTGCTTGACCTTATCCTTGTAGCATAGAAGAACAAAATACAGATATTTATTTTGTTGGTATACGGCGGGCCTTCCTACTTGAATAGATGGGATGCTCAAGTCTAATAATACTTGCCAGTCCAGCGCAGTAAGCCCTAATTAAGCTAGTAAGAGATCCGTTATGGCTATGTATAAGGGTCTCCGATTAAACCCTTTTTGCGATAGACAGTCCTGCAAGTATCGCTCTTGCCGCAATGAAGAAGAATACACTTGCCACCATCATTGCACCCGAAAAGACCTGTAACCCCCAATACGTCCCGTTTTGTCGACTCAAGATTGCTCCAGCAATGGGACTTCCTGTGAGCGATGCAATACTGATGCAAGTAAATAAAACGCCCTGACGAACACCAATCTTGGTCACGTCGGGCGAGATCTGGCCCAGCAGGGCCGGTACCATGCCGACAAATGCACCCGATGCAAATCCATATAGCATGCTAAATACAATATAGATGGCCGCACTGCCTGGGGCAAGAAGGGTACCTGGAAGCCATAAGGCTAGGATCACGATGGCGGACAAGGAGCACATGGCAATCATGACGTTGAATCGGCCCAGTTTGTCTCCTAGGTAGCCTGGTAGGATTCGACCAGGGAGACTGCAGACTAGGTTATAACCATGGCCCTTCTCATCAAGTCAAGATAGACAGTAGTAATATTTACCTGGCAGCATTAAGTATAGTTGACAAGTACCCGGCTAGGTCGCCGTTGACTCCGTCCTCCTGAGCTTCGACGACAATGTAACTGATTGGCACGAACATGGCGAAGAATCCACAGCAGGATGCCAGCACAAGCAAGACAAACGGTACCTCGGAAAACGGACTCGTATAATCATTCAGTTTCACTGGCCGTGGAACATTCCTTATTCTCGATCGGACGGTCAAGTTGGCAATGACCAGGAGTGTGAGGATGATGAATCCAGAGATACGCAGTGACCATCCGAACCCAATACTAGGCAAGAGTCGAGATAACATGCTTGGGAATACAACGCCACCCAGTGATGAGCCGCTGGAAACTATTCCAAAGGCCAAGGCACGTCGTTTCTCGAACCATGTCGCGGTACAGGAGAGTGCGGACAAAAAGACAAAGCTTGCACCAAGAGGACTGCAGATTCCCTAGGCTAGCAAGAATTGGTAGTACTCCGTCGATATGGAGATCATCATAATACCAAAGACGTGAAGACATGTTCCAATAAGAAGAAGCCATTTTGGGCCATAATTATCGAATACCTGAAGAAGGTTAACATGTATACCCCCAGGCATGATGGGGCTAGACTCACTCTTCCAATGACAATTCCAGTCGCAAAGAGTACAAATGGCTCCAAAGATAAAATCCAGGAGATGCTGGACGCTGAATAAGACTGTAATTGATTATTCTGGTAGTGCTCTTGAAAAATGCCAATGGCTGGAGCGAAGTGTGTCAGGTTATCGGTCGGCATAAGAAATAGGTATGGGAGGACTCACCATTCACCCAGCCAAAAGCGCAAAACAGACAGCACCATGCTCCAAAGACGACCGTCCAAGCAGGAAGTCCTTGATCCAACTGTCCAACTGATTCCTCCTCATCTGAGACGGCCACCGTGGTTTTCGATTCTATGGGTGCCATGTCTAGAGGAAATCTGGATGATGAGATGAGGAATTCCAACGGATAATCGCAGAAGCAAGGGCGAGAGAAAAGAAAAAGACAAGCAAAACCTCTTTCCAACCTTTGATGTCAAGGAAAGACATAGATCATACATATCCATGTAAGAACAGAGACTCGGAGAGATCCCACAGCTCCCCGAAAAATGACGCTAAAAAGAAAAGTACAGACTGAAGTTACATCGGGACCAATCAAGTCCAGATTAGACAGACTTAGGTGTACAGTTATAGTTTAGCTTGAGGAATAAAAGATAAGACTGACGATCTCTCCTTGTGATATCATAGGATACATATTGTACTCCGTATAGATAGTTGCCTCCTAAACGGGCTATCTCAAGCCAATAGATTCTGCAGAATATATTCTCTCTTTGCAATAACAGGTTGATGATTATTGTTTTCTCCAGGGATGATAGCTGAAGTGAATGTGTATTAGGGCATGGTACGGCCCGGAGATCCGCTGCGGATCCAAATCGATATAACCCACTACTACTCTAGTATCTACATAGAAAATGAGGTTAAAACCTATGATAGGATTCATCGGTAAAGGGCTTAGATAGATCATGGTAGATATCGAGAAATTGGTAGGTGAGGGTGAAATAACTAGCTCGATCATCGGCCACTCTAGGTTTATCATCGTCAATGTTGTCTTCGCCGCGCGACTTCCTCGACGAGTGGAAGGTATAGATATGGCAGGTGCTTCGGGTTCCATATCCTTAGATCGTCATAAAATGATCAGGCAATCTCTAAATAGCTTCATATTTGACAGACCAGATAAACTGATCAAATGAATCATCGTGAATTGATTGTGAGGCGCCAGATCGATCTTGAACAAGAAAGAGTAGATTCAACTAAATAACGAAGATGGAGACAGAAAGAAGAAGCAAGTTGTAAAGTGGAAGCAGCCAGTTGATATAGCTGACCACTGCAAAAGTTGCAACACTCGAACCTTCTTGCTAAACCCTATGCAGTTTATAGACCTATCTGTGGCATTCCTTTCCCTTTCGTGCCACTGGATGCGGGATATAAAGAACCTGTGCAAGGATTCCAGCATTGTTTTACTGCAAAACAAACCTGCAATCTTCTAGAACGAGCTGCCTCAGTATATAAATGTCATCTCTCTACTCTACTTCCAAGTTTTACCTTCAACTATACCTCCTTAATCAACATATCTTCCATCAACCTCAATCCTCAAGTGTCAACCCCTCATATATCATCTATCACCTTACAATTTCTAGGTAATACCCTGCTCGACATGCCACAAGTTATAAGAACCAACAGGAAAATCGATTAGGTAGACCCCCTACTCCCGTGACTCGTCATTACCTCTGTGGTGCATCATGCTAATCTCGACTACCTCTTTAGATCCCTGCCGGTATTATAAGCTATCGACAGAAGGTGCTTTCCTGTCTCTCCTGGGATCGGTTTTTCTGGTTGAATAAAACGGGGCCGTGCGGTGTTCCCTTAGACGCCGATGATGATGAAGGCGTCGGGTTTGATTGGGACCCCAAGCCTGTGGGTGTGGTTGATGACTTGATCGCTGGGATAGACACTTTTGAGAAGGATAACCGTCATACCCACTGTCTGAGGAGTGCTGCATGTGGCACAGGTGAGTCGTTCTTGTGTCAATCCTGTTTCGGTGCCGAATTGCTGACATGACGGGCATTTCATGTCTTAAAGTGATAATGAGACATCCTTATATAGTTATATCCTATATATGCATGGCAAGCCTCCGCATACTATTCGAAAGGGTCTATACTACGAATGGCACCTGTGACCAGTTAAGGAAGTAGAAGTTATGTATGATCTACACCATGCCGCCGACGAGGGAGATGGAAGCAGAGCTGCGAAAATAAATGAGTGAACTACAAAAGGAAGGGGTAGAAGGCGTCGCTAACCGTAACTACATATAGATACCGTGTGACTTTGTCTTATACTCAACGAACAACTGCATTAGGATCTATCGACGTACAGAAAAGACAGGACTAAGGAGGCATGGCGGTACAAGTGATGGTGTTGAAGATCATCGAAGATTTGCAGTTGCGAATGGCATACACCCGAAGGACTGTAAGCCTGGATTGCGATCCAGCAGGGCTATGCATTTCAATTTATCAACTGGCACATTTCTCTTAGCGGCCTTTCGCTTGCTCGGCTACTCTCAGAATGTGAGAGCAATGAATTTCACCGAAGTTCAGGAGCTCTCAGTTGCCTAGTAATGAACACGGTGCGCAGTATTTTGCCATGGGAGATACACGGGTATACTGTGCATTGGGCTTTCTAAGCACTTATGATGAGACACGAGAACGCATCCATCTTTCTCATCATATGATGAACTCGAGCAAAGGAATATTCCGAATATATGACTTTCCGCGTATGATTTATTCTAGCTGCGCAAACTCCGCTAGTCGCTTAGTATGTTGTAGTTAGTGTTCACGTCCACGGATGGTAGGAAATATGCACCCTGCAATAATAACCTGCCAATGACGGCTCACGGTCCCATATGCGGCCAAGGGAACTGTTGGTTAGTATCTTTGTCCAGTATTTTCTTTTGGACCAATATGACACGAACGGATATCAATACTGTCTGGTAGTAGTGACTCCATGTTGCTCTCCCAAATGTTTCGTGAAAGTGACTGGGTGACTGCACTCTTCGGATGTTTAGGGGTCCATGAAATCATGTACTCTGAATGCAATAGGTGAGTAGCAAAATGGAAAGGGAAAGGGTTCGAGTGCTAGACAATACCCGGTGTAATATGCAAGGATGGAGAATGATCAATCAAGCACAGACCGATATGCATGAGCTTCAATATTGGAAAGTCTTACGTCTCCATGAAGTATACAGACCAGCCACATTGATAGTCTAGTCCCAGACCGGCGATTACATGCATGCTGAAAAAGAAATTCCCCATTTCGATTCAACATTCATTGTTCATATGTGCAGATGGCAAAGGGTGTGGCAGAGGTAGATAGTATCACAGGAAATTCGAAAAAGCAAGAAAAGCCAGCCAAAGCCAGATGAGAGCACGCGACAGGAAAAAAAGAAATGACAGAAATACCAGAACAAATCCAGTGTACCAAGTCTACTGCGAGCCTGGATCTATGGCAAGGGGAATTGAGGTTGTGGGGGTCGTAGAGAAAACGTGGAAATTTTAGGATATCGGAGAAAAGGAAAAAAAGTTTAGGCAGCGATCAGTCATACTGGAAGAGAACACTGATACTTTCACCATGGTGCACACGGCGGATGGCCTGGGTATACGTCAGTAAATTGTTCGGAATACCCGGATGTATGGAACTCACCTCGCCGAAAACGTGGCCGACTTCCAAAACCTCCAGCTTTGGGCAACGGCGCAAGTGCTCAACTTGATCCACGCTGTTGGTCACAACAACCTTGTCAAGGGCACTAGCGTTGATACGCTCGATAGCGTCGCCGCTCAAGATACCATGAGTGAGAAGGGCATATACCTGAGATGCGCCTTCTTTCTTGAGCAACTTGGCAGCACGAGTAATCGTATTCGAGGTATCCGCCAGGTCATCAATCAGAATAGTTATCCGATCACGGACATCGCCGACCAACATCATGGTGGCGTTTTGGCGGTCGGTGATTTTGGTGGGGCGGCGCTCCTAAGAAATTGTTAGAGAATTACAGGAAAATCGAAGGGCTCTATAGGCCTACCTTGTGGATCAGGGCAAACTCCATGCCCATTTGGTCAGCAATTGCCGTAGCGCGCTTAGCACCTCCAGCATCGGGGCTGACAATGACAGCCTGCTTGTAATTTGGGATATTGTGCTGAATATAGCTCTTCAGAAGAGGTCGGCCGTATAGGTTGTCGACGGGGATATCAAAGAATCCCTGGTACTGCGGGTCGTGCAAATCCATGGTGATGATGTGATCGGCGCCGGCGCAGGTGAGCAGGTCCGCCACCAGTGTGCCGGCCTGTGCAACCCACTGTTTGTAGCCAGGACGCGGCTGGAAGGAAGTGATCTTGGAGGAGGTGCTCGCTGCGTCATCGGTGCCGTTGGTCAAAGACTTAAGGGAATCCGTCGTATCGCTGCGAGGCAGACCGTTGCCCCGCCGCTTCACAGGGCTGCCAGTGCTGTCCTCAATCTGAGCTTTGGCAAGACCCTTCTGGAGGCTTTCAATTCCATTCACCAAGCCCAGGCCTTCAGTTCTTCCACCAGGACCCGGGGTCGAAGGGGTGCTCTCGAATGTGTAGCCATTGCTGGGTTTTCCCCCCACGGATGCCTTGACGAGAGGAGCACCGGCCTTGTCATAAGGAATATCACTCTGACGAGAGTAAGGGAAAAGAGGAAGTACAGCAGTGACCCGCCGGGCCGAAGCAGTCTTGCAGGCGGAAATGGTGATGAGAAGCTCTAGCAGGTGGTCGTTGACTTTACCGCCGCCGGATTGGATAATATAGACATCCTTTTCACGGACGGACTCTTGGATTTCAACCCGAGTCTCCCCCACGGCGAATTTTGAGAGCAGAACCTCCGCGGGAGGAATGCCGAGAACATTGCAAATGCTCTGAGTCAACTGAGGGTGGGAGTTGCCTCCGATGACGACAAGATTGCGAACCATCGTGTTGTCTTTTGTGGATATCGCCAGGATTGGAGTAAGAGGGATCAAGGAGAAGGGCGCTCGCTCTGAAGGAAATCAAGTTTGGAGGGATCGGAGGGAGGGGGAAGAAAATCTGGGGGGCGATCTCGGTGAGCAGTCAAGGCAGTAAAAAAATAAAGAGAAAACAAAAGTATAGGGGATTCTTGAGATGAAGAAAACAAATGCTACCTCATGGCGGAGGAAGAATTGACACTTCGAGAGACGGAGACATGAAACCAAGAAAAAAAAAACCGACCATGTGAGTCCCGCGATGTGAAAAAAGCCTCTTTAGAGTGGAGCGGACCTGTGGCTGGTGCCTCAGGTGGCAAATGACCCGGATTGGGTAAAGCGCATGTCGTGACGAGGCCCCGCAGAAAAAGGCCCTGCTTCTGGACAGACAGGAACGCAGTAAATGGTCAGCAGGTTTACTGCTTCGGATTCTCCATTTGCTCCCGGCCGTAGATATACATGATTTGGTTCAGTTCCCCCGGTCGCTTTGGAAATCTCGAAGAAAAAGCAAGAAAAAAGAAACATATTCATGACTCCTATGCTCCGGTCCCCGAGATGGTATGTACTAAGAAAAGAGAAACATAAAAGAGCTTGGCATAAGTCTCCCACCGTGCAGTTTGCTCCGAGAATCCGTCATTCGCCCGTTCCGACCTCCCTACAATAGAATTAGTATGACAGTTCCGGTATCCGAAAGCGGGTTTGAGGCTCACAAGTCAAGTTGAACTCCGTTGCTCACTCCATAATCCTCCAGTGTAAGTTGATCTTTGAAAGGGCGTTCGCCCTGGCGTTTGAGAAGGATTTCGTGGGGTTCACGGCCGATTCGAGCTGCCACTTGGGCCTTGAATAGCTCTGCGTAGAACATTAGCACACTGGTGGCGGTCAATAGTAAAAGGAAGACATACTGATCGGATCTGAGGCAAGACAGGGGATCGCAGCTTTAGTTCCCAGGCGATCATTGACATGGACCACGATCATGGGTTCTGAGGATTGCGGAGCGACCGGTTTCTTCTTTTCTTTCTTCGCTTTCTTTTCCCCGTCTTCGCGCGGCGCATCTCGATCGGCACGTTGTTGGCCCCGGTCGCGGTCACCACCTCTCGGTCTATCTCCAGGTCGGTCACCCTCTCGGTCGCGTCGTGGTGATCGTGGTCGGTCTCGGTATCCGCGCTCTAATCTGCGATCATCGCCGCGGGAATCGCCAGTGCGGCTTGTGTCCTTCCATCGAAAGCCTCCGGTCTTTCTAGGGCGCTCTCTATCAGTATTTCCGCGCGGGCCAGGAGACCTGCTTCGCGATCGGTCAGCCATGACTATGGATGGAAATATGGAAGTTGCGTGGGTGCCTGACAACCCAGATGTAATCTAAACGAAGCTATGAGGCACGTGATGAGACGCAGCTGCCCAGTGGAGTACGCTAGTCCAAGATTGTATTAGCGTGTTTATTCACATCAAGAGCTCTCCTGTCTAAAGTACGTTTGAATTTCTCCGCACTTTTGATCTGCATCTTGAATAGACAGGCTATAATGCAAATTAGCAATTGATTCTGGCTCTGTTATTTCTTTCACCTGACTCCTCCATACCCAAAATGCGAGGCCGACTAGAAGTTCAGCGTCCCTCTCCGACGACCGTCTCCTTTACCGTATCGAATGCGCCCCAGCAGTCAAGTTCCCCCGCCAAAATCATATTCGGTCTCCAAGTACTTCTGCGTACGGTTTTGTTTTTCTGTGTTATTGGTGTCGGCATCGCGCGTGTCCGAAACCTCTTCTTCCAAGCAGATGGGAGGGTGATAAGCTGGCCAGCCCTCTGGTCGAGCCCGCTTGGATCCAAACTGTGTCGCTTGGTGGATTCATACAATCCACTGGGAATTGCCGTGGCTGGTGCATTGGTGATATACGGTGTTTTCAGAAGAGGTCATATCGGTGGGTTGAGAAGGAAGAGTTGGCTTTATTGCTGTGCATGGCTGATTGTTCGACAGAGGAATCGCTCTTGGTTATTCGAGGTTTCGGAATCCAGACCTCGACATCTTCCTCGACATATCTTTCTACTGCCTCAACGAGGTTCATTCCTACGACGCAAATCCAGGATATTGTGATTCACGAAGCCTTCAAGGGCTTCGAAGTCCGCTTCTATTTGGCGGTCATTGTTGAAGGCGAGCTTGATGCCCTGGTGGTCTTCCCGGTATGTAATATCCTCAGCGTTATACTTTCAGACCTAATTTTGCGACTAGCACATGTTGCCCAGGCGAGAGATCTTAGAGCAGGTTTGGAGAGGTTCTCGACGGTGTCTTTACGATGCGAAGTCATGACATACCCACAGTCTCCTGCCTCAAAATTTTTGCTCGTGCAAAAGCCTACCTTTCTCAAGCCCGAGGCTCGATGCTTTATCAATTATATACAGCGAAATTCATTCCGGTGCCGCTTGTGCACCCTCCATCCTTGCTAGTCTTCGCTGCTTTGTGAGAAGTCCCTTGGCATTTTGAACTTCCACGGTCTCCATCTTACCCTTCTCGTCGACACGGATGTATTTCCCACCAACAACAGTATCGTTTCCACCACACCAGACCTTGGCACCTCTGTGTCCTCTTTTGGAATAACCCGCCTTTTGCCACTGTTTGTCAAGATTTTCCACGTTCTGATTACCCTGGCTGACAGTCAAGTCTAGCAGAGCACCCGCTAGAATCTCATCTATCTTTCGCTTTCTCCAAACGGCCCACAGACTTTCAACGGTACCCCGCAGCCCGAATTTGCTATCACCCTTGGCGGTTCCCTTGCAGTTTGCGGCATTGTCACCAGCATAAACCCAGTTCAAGGAATCCTGGCGACTGTCGGAATTTAGATCGGGGAAAATGCAATCCCAAAGCACCAGCGGAGCATCATCAGCCATTGCATAGATTGGCTTTTGTGGATTCTTGGTAATGTCCAGCAGTTCAGGGACGATAGATGGGGACTCGAATCCCTGTCCGACTAGGAACAGAATTGCAACCATGTGTCGCACCTGGTGCCACAAGAAGGCAGAACCGTGGAGGTTAAACGAGTAGACCTGAGGGATACTTTGAGAAACCGTATTGGGAGTCGTCAAATCCGGTTCGGGCACACAACCCTCTTTGGCCTGGAATCCAGGTTGGCCAACATACCCCACGGGGTTGACCTTGGGATTGACGGCTTCGATACTAGAGTGAAGGATAATGCGTTCGAAATTATCAATCTGCTTGTTGGTGTCCAACTTGCAGAAATTCCGGAAGTCATGCATACCCTCGAAATGCTTAGCTGCCTCGCGCATAGCCTCGATGTCGAGCCAGCCCTCACGGAACTCAGCACGCGGGCCATTGCCGTTCTCGGCGCGGTTCTGGAACCCAAGGGGCCCAGGGGTGGGAGCGAACGCGGGGTTGGTGAAGAAGTACTTGTACCGACGTTCACGGCAGGAGAAGCGGGCATCGAAACCAGGCGGCGGGTTAGGACACCAAGCCAGGACCCGGATGTCTTCCGGAAGCACCCTGTTTAGAACATTGATATAGTTCATCTCATCGGCTACATCATCCCACTCCTTTTCAGTAGATCCCGAGTCAACGCGCATCGCATCTTCGCCTTCGGTGGGAGTCTTGGGCATGGGTCGTTGACTGCGGACCCGCAGTCCAATAACCTGCCCAAAAGCGCTCACGCCCTTATCCGTACGACCTGCCTTGGAGTAATCGCATCCATCCCAATAAAGGTGGTAGGGGCGCATGGGGACGCGCTCCCCTCTTTCGGTCGGCTCAAGATCAGAGGTAGTGCCGGGGGAGATGAGCTTTGTACGCCGCAATGCCTTCCACATAATCTCTTCAACGGTAGGCAGAGGCGTGGTATTGCCGTTTGTATGTTCGAGCCCATTGTATGCCTGTCCCAGATATGCGAACTTGAGCGCAATAAACCGCGTTGTGTATTTGGAGGGGTCGAAGCTGCGCTCTGGTCTTGGAGGTTTCGGGGCTTTGACAAGCCGCGTCGGCGCAAGCACTGGGGTAGTGTCGCTATCTTGAGGAGAGTGTGGTCGCTTCGTAGAAGGATTGAAGGACTCGGTAAGAGGGATCGCAGCCTCATGGACGTCGGTAGCGATGGGCGCAGAAGAAGAGCAGGGTGTCTGCAACGATTCTTCGGTTGGCGCTGTGAACTCTGTCGTCTTAGAGGAAAGCTGGCGCTCTAACTCTGTTATGCGCGCGATCAGGCTGGAATTACTCCAGGCCGAGTAGTCGGGTTGGCCCTTGCTTTTAGTGTCCTCCATGGTTTGGGGTGTGAGAGTGCGAGATTGGCACAGGTATCGTGCTTGCCTGAGAGCGTGCTGTATGTTGCAACTCAGTGGAAAGAGTCTAGCAGACACTCTCCACATACCACATCAGCGACTGAGTCAAGGATTGGATTGGTGCGGACGTTTAACCGGCGGGGATCGAAATTGAAAAAGTTGCGCGGAGGCGCTGTTTGGTGTATTTTTTGTATTGAGTCCCTGTACGAAGGTGTAATTACATACACTTTATGGTCATAGCTGTATGTATTCAATGTATATCACTGTACTATGATAGCTTGTCTGTAGATAAATTACCGTATGGGCTTTTCGAATCATAAATCAAGTAATCTAATGTTTCAATAAGTATAAATAACATGAGGTTAGGACTAGCGAATCAATATATATATGTCAACAACCGTGTTGGAACGCCAAGCATCGAACTTGATCACCCAAAGTATTCTCTGAAATCAAATACAAGCGGCGAAGTTACTTATATAGACTGTCCTACATTCACAACTGAGACAATTCTCTGCAATATACTTGTTAATTGACCGGCCGAAGGGTGCAAGTTGATCAATACCTGGACAGTTGCACATAAATCGAATCAACAGCCATTCCAGCATGGCTGAGGCAGATCCTCACCCAGACGGTAACAAACCAGTCTCTTTACTTCTACTCGGAGATGAAGGATGTGGGAAATCAACATTCTTAGCGTGAGTACCTAGTCGTCCGACGGACTGCAGCCTAGAAGCTAATCTCCTGGGCTATATATATGACGTTATATGGGAACCTGCTAACATGATTCAGTCGCCTAAAGAGTGGAAGGCCATCCCCATCAGGCCCCTCTAATAATGACTCAAATACCATTGAACTACTACGAGATAGTGATCAGCCTTTCATTTACGACATCCGGTTCGCAAAAAAAACATTTACTCTAGAACTTAACGACACATCCAACCCAAACCAGCATTGGACAAGCCTTCGTCCTGACTTGGTCGTTCTAGCCTATGATATCTCCAATCGAGACACACTTGCTGGACTAAAGGAGGTAAGCCAAATATATAATTGGAGTAATTGAAAATTGTTCTGAAATTTAACACTATTGCTTAGTGGCGAAATGATATTACCCGTTACTTCCAGTACGGTCACGGCGAGCGCCTTCCAGTAATGATGCTGGGCCTGAAAAGGGATCTACGGAGGGAAGGCGAGGGAATCATCTATCCACAAGAGGTGAGTAACTATGAACTGGTGTTTCACGCCTTGAAAATTGACAGTTATCTAGGCCTATCGTATTGCGCAGGAACTTGTTTGCGATAGATATGCCGAGTGTTCGGCTGTCACAGGCGAGCTGCTCGCAGAGACGTTTGAAGATCTTGCTAGATTGGCGGCAATGACGACTACTGCAAAAGGTGGCCAGACTGAGGGCACTTCTTGCGTTATTCTTTGATTATTTCGTCGTCCATGTTCGAATATGCGGCTTTCTAATGTTGAACTTTATTTTTCTATTCTTAACAGCCTATGTTTCAGCTAGAGAGTATGCTCCATGGAATCACTAAGGTATTACAGACGACAGACCAGATTCTAGATAACATATCATGGAGACAACCGGCACAGCTAGCACAGATATCAGTGGATCCCTTTCTCTCAATAAGCCTTTCTAGCTAGCACTTAGACCGCTACCAGGCTGGGCGGGTGGAACGGCTGTCGTCTGCGCGCTAGCTAGTATAGATGAACAATGAAGTCTACAGCCAGACACATACACTACAAAACCTACTGGATATGATACCGAGCACAACCTTTTCAGATTACTAGAATACACACAGGGAAGAACCAAGGTAACGATTAAGTCCACCTTGTGAATTGACAGCACAGGGCTTTCCCCCAGAAGCTTCGTAAATAAAAGCAACTGGATCTCTTTCCCTCATAAGCGCCAGTCAATGATTGGCAATGGCAATTCCTCCCCGATGCAAAAACATGGAAATAAAAAAAAGTGCTGGTAAGATGAGACCACTGAGGCAAAAGATTGAAAGGTTCCCGGTGAAAGCTCGTTTTCTTCTGTTTTTCAGTTTCTTTTCGTTTTTTTGAGAATTGCACACAGGGACTAGGATAGACATGTCAAGGGAATTTGAGGGAGATTGTAATCCATTGTTGTGAATGGAGTAGATGGTGTATAGGAGAAAACAAGAGCCTTTCCTTGATTCCCGTGCCTCGAAGGACCCAGAAAATCATCAATCATCCCGGATCACCCAACTTTTTATTGTGATCAAGCTTCCCCCCTCTCAACGACTATCCTTGTCACCGCGGAGCAATTTACCACTTAGCCTCACCAGCGGCGGGCTGAGCCTCAGCCCACTCGGTGGTAGCGGGAGCGGAGCTGGCAGCCCAGTCACCACCCTCGGCATCCCAGCTGGTGGCACCAGCAGTAGCGGTGGCAGCGGAGGCAGCAGCGAAGGCAGTGCCGGGGTTACCAGCGCCAGGGGCGGAGGCATCCCAGTTCTCACCAGCGAAGCCGGACTCGACGGCACCAGCACCGATCTCATCAGCACCGGGGACCTTGGCCTCATCGGCGATCTCCTTGTTCTCCTCGGCCTCGGGGTCGCGGTAGAAGTAGAGATCGACAACGGTATCCCACTCGGTCTCGCGGGTAGCGAGGGTACCGCGGAGACGGAGGACCTCACGGGCGAGCATCCACCAGACGAGACCGATGGCGTGACGACCCTTGTTGTTGGTGGGGATGGCAACATCGACGAAGTCGGTGGGGGAGTCAGTGTCGCAAAGGGCAATGACGGGGATGTTGACGTAAGAGGCCTCCTTGATGGCCTGGGAATCAGTGCGGGGATCGGTCACGATGATGAGACGGGGCTCCTTGAAAGAGCGGGTGATGTAGTTGGTGAAGTTACCGGGGGTGAAACGACCGGCAATGGCGGTAGCACCGGTGTGGGAGGCGAACTTCAGGACAGCACGCTGACCGTAGGGACGAGCGGAGATGACACAGACATCGGCGGGGTTGTCAATGGCGGCGATGATACGGGCGGCCAGGACGATCTTCTC